CTCTCTCTCTCTCTCTCTCTCTCTCTCTCTCTCTCTCTCGCTCTCTCTCACACACACACACACACACACCAAGGTGTGAATTTTTAAAGACTTCTGCTCCTGACAGGAATTTTCAATTTTCATCAGTGTTCTGTTTGTAAATCATCCCGAAGAATGCAGAAAATAAAGAATGATTGGTTTCAAATTGTTCAGAAATGGCCTTATAATTCTATTCAGACTGACGACAACAACAACCTTCCTTGTTGATGCATCCGAATTCATGTTGTTCTGATTCACGACAGGGAAACCAGGGAGCAGAACGAGGCTCAGTCATGGTTTCAGCATTTTGGCTTCCTTTGCTTTTGGATAAATAATAACAACAAAATCTGTTATGTGTTATCCGAGACATAGAGTTGTATAATTATAGAAGCTGGTGAAGACCAGATGATTGTTGTTTATGCTGTGTTATGTAAAAAAAAAAAAAGTTGTAGTAGTATGACTGTTCTTCAACAAACCGTTGAAGATGAGGGTATGAGGGTTAAACATGCTCTGTATGATGTGTGGTTCTGCCTCAGGTAAAACAATGTAATCAAGCCCCAAAAATGCTCTGCCCTGTCAGAAAACACAAACTGGTAGTGAGGCGTCTAGTTAAATGTAATTTCAGCCAGCTGCACAAACACTTTGTATAGATTTGTCTACACATAACAAGAGGAAACAACTGTGTTCATTGACTCGCTCACAAGATTCTGAACAAATACAGATAAGACATGAAAGAGCCTGTTGCTGTCCTCTGATCACACCAGCTCTGAAACACAATAAAGAGCAGCACCTAACCTGCAGATGACCATTTAAAGCACTGAATCTAACACATCTGGAGGGTGGAGACAGAGAGAGGGAGGGGAAGCTATTAAAAAAACTGATCATACCAGTCATAGTTCAGAAAAAAGACAGCAGGAAGGGGCTTTATAGAAAGCAACACCCTCTAATACACCTCACCCTTAATACATGATAAACTTAATAAAGCGCAAAAGTCTATTCATTAACCTCATGAAACCGAGGCTTCATTCATCCTCAAGGGCATTGTTGCACACCATGCATTCACTGGGACACTTTTCCCATTCTGGGAATTTAACCACAGCATTGGATCAAAGACATCCGACCGGAATAAACGTCACATTTATGTTGATTAGGAGTAATTATACATGAGAATGTGGAATAATTGGAAAAGTGACCACATGATATACCTCTTACAGTATATTGCATGTGACATCCACATATTCCGTGTGTTCATCAGAATAAACGATTTGCAGTGTTCTTCACATTCTTCACACTTCAAAATGTACTAGATTCTAAATAACAAAGCAAGCATCTATGATGCAGGATTGTCTCTTAACTAATTTTCATAATCATTTTTTGCTTCAATGACTTTTAAACAGCTGGTGTTTTGTTGATTTGTAGTGGATATATGATTTCAATTCACATAGACTACAACGAGGGGAAAAAATGGTGAAGGATTTATAGTATTTTGAAACTTTTTTTTTTTTTTTTCAGAAACTGCTAGTATTTTTTTTTACGTGTATACACAGGTGTAGAGAATCACATTAACTATAGACATGATCCACTAACATTGCAAGTGTTTGCAATAACAACTGACATTTTTAAGTGTGACTTAAGTGACTTTTGGGGACACACTTAAACTATACAGTTATTCTAAAACTCACTATGTAACAAAACAACATAACGATGTACATTTCACCTTGTATCATAATGAACAACTTATGTAAAACTCTTATTGACAAAAAAAAAAAAAAAAGCCAAGCTTTCTAAGTGTTAATGTCAAACTTTCTCAGAAAAAGTCTCCATTCAAGAAGTGCATTAGATGTACCAATATCTGAGTGTGAGATTAACATTTCTTACAGGTAAAAGTCATCCCATATTAAGCTGAGGACATGAAGAGTGAGAGCAAACTCACCCAGACAGCCGTGTTGGACTCTGGAGAGATTAGTGTCCGTCTGCTGTGTGTCTGTCATTCACAGGAGTTCAGCGGGACACAGCGGCGAGAGCGCGTCCAGACTCTGATCTGCTCTCAACGTGTTTTCCCTGTCGGCACCGAACTTGCTGGCATGGATCCTAACATCACAGGCTGAGAGTTCCTCATTGGTCGCAGGGTTATAGGAGTTGAAGGGGGAGAACTGAACACTGCACACACTGAAAATGAGATGTGTGCCTTGCTGCTTTTCTGTTTTCCTTTAAAGCCTGAGGAATGTGAATATAGTACATGTTTTTCATTGGTTTTGCAATATTTTTACCTAAGGCTTCCTTTGGATATGTGTATAAAGCAGTATTTAGGTAACACTTTAGTTTAGGGACCAGTTCTCACTTTAACTAGTTGCTTATTAGCATGCATATCATATTGGCTATTTATTAGTACTTATAAAGTACATACAGTATTAATGTCTTATTCTGCATGACTATATTCTATATATTAACTCTACCATATACCTAAACTTAACAACTACTTACTATCTATTAATAAAGCAGAGTTTATTGAGGCAAAAGTCATAGTTAATAGTGAGAATTGGACATTAAACTAAACTAAAGTGTGACCAGTATTTATTATAGCATTATATAGCAGTGCATTAATATTATGTATCTAATACTGTCAAAAACACTATACTGTGTATTTAAAAGTTTGGGGTCAGTAAGATTTTTATTTTTGAAAGAAAATAATACTTTTGTTCAGCATAGGTGCATTTGATTGATCAAAAGTGACAGTATAAAGACTTAAAACAAATGTTGTTCTTTTGAACTTGCTATTCATCAAAGAACCCTGAAAACAAGTGTCAGGGATTTCACAAAAAAGAAAAAATTCAAGCAGCAAAACTCATTTTTAACATTGATAATAATTCAAAATGTTTCATGAGCAGTAAAGCAGCATATCAGATTGATTTCTGAAGACTGGAAACACTAAAGACTTTCCCTCGCAGCATTTAAAAATATTCAGTCAGAAAACATTTTGACAGCTATTTTTCACAAAATTACTATTTTAAAGTTTGTGAAATCCAGAGAAAATGCATCTAATCTGTCAGCAGTACGTCAACACAGATTCAGACTGCAAGTGAAAGCAAGGCTGATGGACGCATGACCAAATGTACCAGGGTACTGGACACGTTTCAGTGCAAACAGCTCATAAAGACCGACGCATGGAAGGTATTTAACATATAAACCAGCTGCCAAAACATCTGGCTCTGCACAGTGACACTGATTGGCTACCAGACTGTCAACAAAGCATAAACCAAGTCCTGCTGCCTTTGGCTCAATAATGAGAGACTTTGAAAGAAATATTACTGTGAGAAATATATGTTCTTGGATCTGATGTGTAGCAGGAGAGAGAGAGAGAGTGCCAGGCTATAACATGTGGAATGGCCATCTTGTGTATGTCTCTGTGTGTTTGGGTTTGTGTATGGATTTTGTCTTAAGTTCTTCTGAATACAGAAAACACCTGCTGAAGTCTCCTACATGAGGGCTCTTTAACATCGCCAGCGACACGGTCCTTCCTGTCTACATTGACTAATGACAGGACAGAAAGACTGGTGTAAAAAAACAGAAGTGACTGTGTGTCATGGAAAATAAGACTCTGAATGACAGCTTCAATATATCAGTGTGCAAACTGATAAAACAGATTTGTTGGTGTGAAGGAGCGCTCAGCCAATGATAATGAATACATGACAATTAAAGGAATAGTTCCTATAAAAAATACGAGATTGCACTTACATCCACAAGCATCGCTCTTACATAGAAAAAAGTGGAGACTTTCATAAACCCACTGATGATGTACAGAGTTCTTGAGAAAGGAAACTGAGGAAACTGTTGCGCCACCTGGAGGATTTAAAGAAATATTAGTATTCAAACAAAGTGCACAGAACCTGTGAAATGCACCCTCAAAGAATGTGATTTCACCAAATGTAGTCTCTTGTGAAAGCTTGTAGTTTACATTATTTGGGTGTTTATTGTAAACATAGGCGTGAGGAGGCTCTTATCTGCAAATGTGTTCCAGTAAGAGGAGGCTCCTGATGCATCGGCTGCACTTCGAGGGACACAAAAGCGCCCACAGGAAACAGAAAGTAAACACTCTGTGGGAGAACTGCCCTGAACCCTAGACAAAACATCTGCCTGAAAGAGAGAGAAAAAGAGATGGACTGATAGAGGATTATACAGCATTTCTGTACATTTAAAGGGACAGTACACTCAAAAATGAGGGTGAGTAAATCATGGCAGAAGTGTACAGTTATGGCTTTAGTATTTATTTAAATGATCATACGCTGAATTATTTAAAGACCCCTTGTGGTGAACATTAAGTTTTTAATATTGTTTACATGTGACTCTGGTGTTTGTAATATGCCTAAAGACAAACAGTGTGCTAATTCATCAGTTAACACCATTGTTAAGCATTTTCTCTTTAAAACTGTACCAAAGACAGTCTCAAGATCGCCTATTTCCTGTCATCACAAACATGTAACCCAACGTTCACAGGCATATCTGTTTATTTCTTGAATGCGATGGCCAATCAGAAGTTTTTCAGTTAGTCAGAATACACTTAGCACTCAAAAAGTTTAGGTTTTGTTCAGCACTGACTTCTGCAAGTATCCTCTTATTATAACAAAGCAGTAGACGCAATGTAAATAAAAGTTTAATTGTACAGTAGAGCTTCCTATAACCGGACGCTTTGTGGAGCAGATTGAGTGGAGGCGGGGACTAATACGATCAGCACTGGAGCTCCTCAGGGCTGCGTCCTCTCCCCACTGCTCTTCTCCCTGTACACCAACGACTGCACCTCTAAAGACCCCTCTGTCAAGCTCCTGAAGTTTGCAGATGACACCACACTCATCGGTACAGTTTCTTCCCTCAGGCAATCCATCTCATGAACACTTGACAATAACTGTGGAACACACACTATTTATTCACTCATACACTTATTTATCTAACACACATACTCAGTCTACATTTCAATTTGCACATAATATACCTGTACATACAATTGCCGATTTGTATATTTTTAATATACAGTTTTTTTGTTCTGTCACTGTCATTCTGTTACACTGTGGAAGCTTCTGTCACGAAAACAAATTCCTCGTATGTGTAAACATACCTGGCAATAAAGTTCATTCTGATTCTGATTCTGATTCTGATTCTGATATTAGCATATTCATGTATACTCGGTGAGGTAAGGGTATAGAGTTACATTCAAGCCATTTTAAAACAAAGAAATAATTTTCATGGGGGAAAAACCTTTAAATATATAATTTTGATTATCAAATATGAGTTTTAAAGGATAAAATTAGTGATAGCAGATTAGTGAATACGAACTAATTTGTTTTGTATTGTAATTTACAATTAACATTATTGTCAAATTTGTTTCTTTATTCACTTTGTGAAAAATAATTGTTTAACTGTACTGTATTTGCACTAGCAGTGTACTTCAAATCTTATGTGTTTTTTAAACATATTTTGAATATTTATTTTGATGTGTTCACAAATGTACTGCATTTTAGATACTAATATATAACTTTTAAGTTACTAATATAGGCTCCCATTATAGGGTTGAATAAGGTAAAACATGTACCTTTTGAAAAGGTACCACCCCAGCCCAGTGACAACTTTTGTACCTTTTTTTTTAAAAGAGTGTTCAGCAGTACATTTGAACCATATTTTAAAGACAATACAATTATGCAATTACATATAAAGATAAACTCTAAAGTCCACATAAAGCCCAGCACTCTAAAGTCCAGATAATGGCATTTAATACATAAATTAACTGTAATACATTTTTATTTAATCAATTAACATATAACTAGGAAAAAAAATGCATTCTGTTTGCACTTAAGTATATTCTTTAAAGTAGCCATACACTGAAGTACCCTTTAAAAAAATTATGCAAAAAATTTACTTTTTTTTTTTTTTTTTTTCCAAGAGGATCCACTTTACACTAGTGTAGGGGAAACTACTTTGAAACTGTAATTTGTCAAGCGACAAGCTACTTCTGATATAGAATCGTCGGGTAAAAAAAAATAATTTAAGCTCCTTACTTGAGCAGTCAGTTACATTACAAGTTAGTAAAAAAAAAAAAAAAAAACTAAAAAGGATTCACTCAGGAGAAAACCAGGAGAAGTACAAACACTAACCACATTGCCATTAGCAAGGGAACTGAACAAGACACAGGTGACAATAAACAGTAACTAAGGAAACCAACTAGGGAACAAAGAAAGCTTTGACTTGATGTCCCAATTGGGACTTCAGCGCACTGGGACTTCCTTCTTGTATCTTCAGGCTCCACGGTTCAGATTTAATTGTCTTCCTGTTGGCTCTCGTTGTGGTTAGTGGTTTGATTCTCTTTTATCTACTTATCACTGCAGTTCCCACAGAGATTTCCAGCCTGAGTCAGCAGTGCTGCCAGGTTTGATTACTTCTGATAACAGCCATGGTAACTTGCTGATGTTACAGTACATGCATACAGTAAAGTAAAGTCAAGTAAAGTAAAGTAAAGTAATACAGTCAAAAAGCTGAAAAATCTGTCATTATACACACACTGATGTTTTTTTACACAGCTCTTTGCTTATAACAAAAATTCATAGTGACCCTGTTTGTCAAAAAGCACAAAATACCAAGTTTTAAACATGAATGAATTGTGGAAGAGTAATAAAAGTAATAAAGTATTTTAAAGTTTAAATAAATAGTTAAAAAAGCTTAGATTTCTATTGAAAGCAGTTAGCTGAAACCTTTCAATCCCGTATGTAGGACATATTTCTTTACATGTAATTTTGCTAATATTTCTATTATATTTGAAACACGTACCATGAAACATGCAACAACAAGTGTGCTGCCGAATGTACCGACAAGCATTTATAGTCAATTAAAATATACTTTAGTGTAATTTCTATTGAAACTTGTATTTAAATAAATTTGTAATTACACATTTGTAATGATGAATTAGCAATTCTGTACATTTAAAATATATGAACTTAGAATTTATTTTTGAAAAGCATGCTATAGTTAACATTATAACGAATGTTGCTCA